GGCAGAGCATCTGGTGGATTCGAACCGTATTCCTCTGGGATTACAGTGCAGCTTCTTGCCACTAGGCTACCAGAGCTCCCCCAATTTTCTGACTTTTGACAAAATAATGCAGTTATAAAAGAAAAGGTGGTTATACTCTGTCACTGTTTCATATATTTGAATGTTAACGTTTCCATTAGTACTGTGCCTCAACAACATACCTCCTGTGATAAGATCGTAATAGTAATGATAACCCTCAGAGGTTATGCCTTCTACCCATCTGCCCTTGGGAGGATCTTTCTTCTTTTTCTTCTTTTCTTTTGGCTGATTAGATGTCGAGGTGGGTGGAGTGGTACTGGCTACTGGTGATACACTTGGTTCTGAAATGTCTAGAGGAAAGATGAGAGAAAAGTACTAAGGTTGCCAAAGTAGTCTTTTCACCATCTGGCAGACAACATTAATAGTGCTATTACAACCAAAAGCCAGACAAAATTCTTAAGAACCAGACATGGTCATTATAGAGGTCATTTGGAAATATAAACAATATAAATTCTATATTGCAGAATTCTATATATTATATTACATTATATTAAACTATATATTATTCTATATTGTAAAAAGTAATGTGAGAGGGAAAACCTAGTACTGTCAAGCATTAAAATTTATTCTGAAGCTGTACTATAGGCGGCTCTGGTACTCTAGTGGCAAGAAGCTGCGCTGAAATCCTGAAATACACAATCTGAGGCTACCAGATGCTCCATGGGAAAAAGATGGGCAGTCTCCTCCCATGCAATTTACTGTCTCTGAAAACTTGCTCAAGGGTCAGCTATGGGTCAGTTCCGACTTGACAGTACCTAACAACTATACAAGGTAGCAGTATATAATTGATGCTGAATAGACAATGTTGTTGTTGTTATGTGCTGTCAAGATGCCTGGGACTCATAGCAACCCTATGTACAATAGCCCAAAACCCTGCTCTATATTTTGTGCTAATCTTACTGTTTCTGACACATCTACCCCCATTACCCCAGTTGCTGAATCAATCCATCTCTTCGAGGGTCTCCTGCGCTGTCCCTCCACCCTCCCAAGCATGATGTCCCTCTCCAAGGACTGGTTCCGCCTTCCAACAAGTCCAAAGTATGTCAGACAAAGCTTCAGAATTCTTGCCTCTAAGGAGCAGCCTGGTCTCACCCTCTAGAACCTGTTTGCTCTCCTAGCAGTCCATGGTATATATTCAATGCTCTTCACCAGCACCACAGCTCAAAGCCATTAATTCTCCTGTCATCTATAATCATTGCCCAGTTTTGTGATACACAGCATGTAACTGTGAAGACCATGCACTGGATCAGACACACCTTAGTTTCCAGACTTACGCTGTTGTTCTTCAGTATTTTGGAGAGGTCTCTGACAGCAGATTTTTTTTTCTTGTGTATTTACTTTTTTTTTTAATTATT